CACACACACACACACACACACACACACACACACACACACACACACACGTATATAACAAAACCAGCTACCAAGGGCTGGGGAGGAGGTTCTGTGGCTAAAAGCACTAGACCAGAGTCTAGGTCTTGGCGACTCCAGCTCCAGGGAACCAGCTGCCTCGCCTCCGGCCTCCACAGACAGTGACATTCATATGCACAGACATCACACTCACGAACATAATCAACATCAAAATAGCCAACATTTTAGAAACATCTGCCGGCTGCCGCTGCTGGTGCACCCCCACGCCAGACACTGCAGCACACCGCGATGCCTCTCATTAACTTGTGTCCCAAGTATGACTGAGATGGTCTGGGTGGCCAGCCTGGCTTCCTGCACACTGGAGGACTTGGCTGTTACATTGACGGAAGCTGAGTTCTGATTTCCTTCCTGCGTTTCCTCGCTGACCCAGTAACCATAGGTGTTGAAGACCTATCACCTATCGTAGAACACACTGCCTGACTCTTAAGAAGGTTATTACTGCTCCAACCTGAAACGGACGGTCTCTCTTACAGAAGTATCTCACATCTTTAGTAATTCCCAACAAGTAGCAAATGCCACGTTTCACATGATAAAAGCCACCCATTGAAACAGCTGCATTAAGAAAATATTCCGAGTTTGACAAGATGGCTTACGAGATAAGGGCATCTGCTGTCAAGCCTGACGACTTGAGTTCAATCCCTGGAACTCACATGGTGAAAGGAGAGAACAGCTTGTCTTCTGACTTCCATACTGAATGGATGTGTGCACATGGACATGTGGGCACACAAAGACACACAAAAACAAGTAAGTGTAAAAGAAAACCCACTTGTACCAGGTAAACAGAGAAGTCATCACCACTTAGGATGTGAGAAAAACTTAGTAAAAATAAATAAATAAATCAGCAGTTTATTTTTATGTTGGTAAAATCAGCCTTCTGCTTGCTTCAGCAGGAACTAAAGATCAGCTGCAGACACATCATTTCAGTTCTTTAGTTTACTGGATAAACGCCAGGCCCAATTTTATCTGTAGTCCAGACTTTGGAATTTGGGTAGCTACTGAGTATCTTCTTTCATAAAACACCAGATAAAATCACATAGGATACAGATAAGTGATTTACCATTATACGAACATATGCCCATGCCAAATAAAGAGATAAAACATACTTTTATTGATTTACTAGAAAGAAAAATTCAAAGTGATAGGCAATCACAGTCCTCAAATAGCCCGTCTTGAAGCTGTCTTCTGAGAACCCACAGTTGTTTCGAGAGTTGCAGTTTAATCTAGCCACACGCAGTCTCCGTGCTGTGTGATTGGCTCTTCCTTGGTCCCGGTGAGTACCACGCACTACTGCATACATAGCAGTGCATCCCCAGGCTCGTTCTTCACTGCACGGAGGACTCCTGTCACACAGCTCCACGGCAGTGGTCTCGCATGGCAGTGCACCAGCAGGCAGCACCCTGCACCTCAGGGTGATAGGCAGCAGGAAGGGAGTTTTAAAAGACCTTCCTTTTGATGCTTATGATGTGTGTGTGTGTGTGCGTGTGTGTGTTTATTTGAGTGTCATGGCCTACAGAGGTTAGAGACCTTGGATTCCTTGCAGCTGTAGCTGCAAGGTGTCCTCAGCCAAGCATCCTGGGGGCTTAGAACTAAATCAGGATCCTCTGCAAAAAGCGGCTAAAGCTCTTAACAGACAGGTATTAACTTCTTGAGAGCAGAGTCGGGTCCATTTAGTCACCATTGTGACGGGGGCCTCTGTATATTGAAGAACAAGTTTCAGGAGGAACTGTAGACTTGGTTGTGAAATGTGGTGCTTACTGGAACCAAGAAGAAGAGAATCCCACTGAACAGAAACTACGGGTGTGGCTAGAACTGCATTGTGTAATGCTTGAAAAAGCTGAGTTCTCAAGAGACAAAGTCACAGTGTGGGCTGTCTGGGGCCATCACAGCTTCTGCTGAAATAAGACTATAATTGTACTCACATGGAACTCACACTTCTGCTAAATGTATTACAAAGATTTTATGGTTGCCTAATGTCTTGATGTGCTAAAAATGCACGAGAAGCCAAAAATGACTTATGTTTATGTATACTAACTTATCACTACCTACTCTTCACACATAACTTTGTAAGAAAGGCAGTAGGGTGTATGAGAAAGGACACAGAAACCACATCACCATGGCATGAACCCCAGGGAAAACCACTGTTTGACCTTCACCCAGCACTGACCTTCCTAAGCTACAGGTTTTCAAGTGAATACAATAATATCTATTTTAAAACAATACCTGGAGAAAGACACAAGATAAAACAGGTAACAGCTTAGCTTGCAACTTACTAGTAAACCCTAACTACAAGTTTACATATTGTACTCTTCTCTGAAGTATACTTTAACATTTTCAAAAAGGCTTTATAGATTAAAGATTTACAAGAATCACTGAATGAAGGCCACTCAGTCACGTACCTCCTACCGCAGGCATCTTCCTCTTTGCACGCTGTACTTAGTGTTGAGAAAGGCCTAGCTCGCACTTCTTGCTGCTCTCTCTAGTTAAACAAGATAAGCCATGAATATCAGAACAACACTCAAAGGACTGCGTTAAGCTCCCCTCTGAACGCTCGTTACTGCAGAGCCATCCAGGTCTCTGCAATATCAGAAATGCTGTGCTATGACAATGAACACTAACTGCCGTGGTTTCACTCTTTTTGGTCCAGTGTAAAAAAAATGACTTCAAAGATAAAAGCATAAGGGTAGTGGGGCCGTCACTGTCTTTAAGCCCCTTGGTCTATGGGAAGCATTGCAATTAAAAGCTTCTGGAGAGGAGTCATCAAGCCACAAAACAAAGTAAATTCGAACTGGAGATGGCAGAAGTTGCACTTGGTTTGCTTCTGGGGAGGAAGGTGCACTCCCCTTCCTAAGGCTCCTTAGTCTTTTGTACTCTGTTCTTTCTGAGGTGAAAAAGGTTCTCTTTAGAGGACCTCTTAATCATAGACAAAATGCACCTCCCATTCTCCTGTAACATGCTTCTGGACAAATGTTTTCCTTCTCTTCAGATATTGGCAAAACTGTATACTTAAATTAAAATATTTACAGTAAAATAGTTCATTTCAAATGCAACTAGCAGATCTGTAATTACTATCTATCAAGTGAAATGTTATACCTGCCACATTTCTTAATCCTCAACCAACAAATAATCATGGATTTATATGAAGCATCAAAATAAAATACTGACGGCGAGGAAATGGCTTAGCTATTTCTTGCAGATGACCCATGTTTGGTTGCCAGCAACCAGGTCAGGCAGCTCACAATCAGTCACCGGTAACTCCAGTTCCAGGGGATCCAACATCTCTGGTCTCTGTGAGTCTCATGTGCACATACTCACACACAGACACATACACATAAATAAAAAAATTTTTAATCTTAAAAATAATGAAATATTAGAATTTCTTCCCTCCATCAACTCCATCCTGGGGAGCAATAGGATTAAAAAAGAATCAACAACATCAGGACAAGAACTGCGGGGTCTGAAAGCAGTCACTTGACTCCTCTAGGCAGACTGCTCCCTGGTAAATCAGCTTTGGGGATGCTGGTGCTTTGGAAGAAATGTTTAAAGAATGAATGCCAATCCATTGCCAAAATGGAGCCTAGGGCTTTGATTCATGGGCTGGGGAAAGGACCTCACACTTGTCCTGGCTATGTGATTTACTCTCGCCCTAGGAACCTCAGTTATACGCAACGACAGAGTATAAGCAGCTGCCTAGCAGTTAGACTCTCAATGTCTGTTCTCACCACTCAGCTTTCACCTTGAGCCCTGTTACTTTCAACTCTATTGAACTTTTGGTGTTAATTTGTCTGTTACTTCCCGTCTAGTCATGGACACACTCATCGGTCTGTGAGCGGAATCTGGCAATTTTTTCATTTATTAAGACGAAGGGTGAGCCTGGGTCAGTATTCCTCGGTATTCTTGAGAAGTCAGGGACCCAAGAACACATGTGAACACATCTGAACTATATAGTACTGATATTTTGGTACTGGAAAAGATTATTGACATTAATGTTCTTATTGATTACATGATTGGAACATCTAAATAGAAACTGCTTTTAGCACACCCACACTGGAGCTACACCTATACACACACATTTATGCTTGCCACCCACTGAGCTGATACCTGATGCTTTGGGTATTTTTTTATATTCATGTTATGCAGTAAATTTAAGGTTTAAAAATCAGCACTTACATGGAAAAACTGTGCATCTACTTACTATTACTTCCTCAGCTTGTCGAACCAGATCAGCAGTTTTTGCCTCCAATTCTGCATTTAAACGTCTAAAAGCAGAAAATAACGTAATAGTTTGGTTATATTCAAATTCTAAAAATAAAAATAATTAAATTTGGGCAATTATATTATAATCAATGTATGCCAAAGCACACACCACATTTTTAGTCTAAAATGAACATAGCTCCTAGAATGCTCCCCTCTTCCCACCTCTGGTAGGGATGCAAGCATTGCCTTGCCTTTCCATGGCCCTTTACTCATATCTTCCATAAAGTAATTAGCCAACAAATTAGACAAGAGCAAACTAAGTGAGTTCAACTCAGCTTCAGGATTATCCTACCTGTAGAGAATTCAAGTTCCAACAAGCTCAAACTCAGGGGAAATGCCTCTCTACTAGGAGGAAGAGAAGCCAGAACTGCCTCGCAGCTAGAAGTAGATGAACTACAAAATATAGGCCACAAAGACTCCATGCACAATCTCAGGTGAGGGGCCAGTGGTGAGGTAGAAGGATCACCTATAATTCAAACATGTGGAGGAGGGGTCCAGATTCACTTCATCAGGATGATTCAGAGACACTCTGCCAACCTTCCTACAATATTAGTGGAGAAGAAAGGTAAGCTGGTAGAGGGAAATTCAAAGCCAAGCTACAGGGACTGCTTCTCATCTAGAATATAAGTGCTCTGAAAGCAAATCCTGATAAAGATGACTTTTAAAAAATAACAAATCACATTAGTCACCAAGGGAGAGCAGGCAGGCACAAAATGGGAGGGGAGGGACTTACACTCTAAAAAGCAGAGACAAACACAATAAAAAAATTTAATTAGAATTCTAATCTGAAAGAGAGAAAAAGAGGAGAAACAGAGAAAGTGAACTGTCTCCACAGTTGGTTCCTAGCGAGTGCTGCTGTTTTGGGAGGTGCGGCTTTGGGGGTAGGCCACTGGAGAGGTCTTAGAGGCTTTTAGTCCAGCTTCACTTCCTGCCTGAACACTCCATTTCTTGATCCAGCCTGCCATAAACTCCTGTCATATACACTGTGACCTGAATTAAATTGTGGAGAAAAAGTTTTGATATATACTTTTTTAAAATTACATTTAGTCAAATTAGTCAAGGAAAACAACTTTGTAAAGCTTGATTTAGAGGGAACTGACCCAAACCGTGGAGCAAACTTCAAATATAATGATGAACTATTAAAAGTGAGCTCTTGGGCTGGAGAGATGGCTCAGAGGTTAAGAGCACTGGCTGTTCTTCCAAAGGTCCTGAGTTCAATTCCCAGCAACCACATGGTGGCTCACAACCATCTACTATGAGATTTGGTGCCCCTTTCTGGTGTGTAGGCATACAGGCAGGCAGAACACTGTATACAGAACACTATTGATACATACATACAAATAAATAAATCTTAAAAAAATGAAAAAGTGAGCTCCTCAGCCAGGCAGTGATGCACACCTTTAATCCCAGCAGGTGAATCTTTCTGAGTTTGAGGTCAGCCTGGTCTACAGAGTGAGTTCCAGGACAGCTAGGGCTACACAAAGAAACCCTGTCTCAAAAAATAAAAATAAAAGTGAGCTCCTCAAAACTACAGCTGTGGTAAGGAGGCCCGTAGTTACTGTTTGCTTTCCACTTGGATTGTCATAAACAGGGGAAAGGGAATAAACCATTCTAATCAGCAAGTGGCAGACTAGAGCGGAAATCCACTGTGCTGTACAGCGCAAACCAGGGCTGGGCAGTGCTGAAGATGTGCATATTGCTAACAGCTGCATTCTGTTGTTGCTGCATTTGCAACAAATTAGCTCAAATGCTTTAAACTGAAAAGGTTAAAATACGCTTTTTCATTAATTAAGGGTATATCAAATGACAAATAAAGCAGACATAATCTCTGCCCTATAGAGTTTAGAGCCCAGTAGAGAAGGCAGAATTAAAAAAAAAAAAAAAAAAAAAAAAAACTAAACTACTGCTGGGCACGGAGGTCCAAGCCTTTACTCCCAGCACTCTGGAGGCAGAAGCAGATGGATCTCTGTGAGTTCAGGGCCTTGGCTACACAGTGAACTTCAGGACAGCCAGGGGAATGTGAAGAGCCCTTGCTTCAGGGAAGGAAAAGCCATCAAGTGAGTTGATTTTAACAAAATACGCTAATTGATTTTTCTTTTTATTAAACAACTAGGACCCTGTCTAGCACAGTCAATAGACCCTCTGGGCTTTACAGTCCAAATGCAGGTGTGATTTCCCTCAAAAGCAACCCATGTCCCTTGTGACTGGAGAGTTCCACCCTATATATGTGACAGAGGGACAGCAGGTGTCAGAGCTGTCGAAGCTTTGCAAGTGCAGCAACAACAGAATCCAGTTTTAAGCAATGCAACGAAAAGATGAAGTGAAGATGAAAAGGTTGCTCTGGCAAGGGGATGGGGGTGGGCGGACAACTTGCCAGAGAACAAGACAAGGAATATCATCCTCCCCCCCGTCCCTCCCGCCGTAGACAGGACCTGAGTCATTTGGAAAACAAGCCTCCAAGAAGAAATCTGCACAAAGTAAAATCTAGTACTTTGAGGATCCTCAGAATCTACTCTGAGGATTCCGCCGGCAATTCGTGCGCTCCAAGCCACTTTACAGCGAACCCTCCCGCTGCCCAACCTTCTTTGCCCCTACAAATATCTTCTCAGACTGCCCCTGTGAAAGAGCCAAGGCTAAGGGCCGATTAGGAAGGAGGGTGTCCCCAGAGGCAGCCACTCGGCACGAAGGGCATCCCGGGAACCTCCCTGGAATCCGGGGGATGCTCACTTGTACTCTTGCTCGCGGGCGAAGAGGTCCCGTCCAGCTGCAAGCTGCCCTCGCGGCTGAGTACCTGCAGCACCACGTCTCTGCAGACAGAGTTGCAGAGCTCGAGGTCAAGGGGGTCTGGCGTCCATCCGTCCCTCCTGCCCGTCCGCCCGCCGTCCCGCCGTCCTGCAGCCCGCAGCTGCTCAAGGTTTAAGAACTCACCCGCACTCCAACACTTCGACCCGCCATCTTTCCCAACCGCGGGCGATGCGGTTGCCTTGGTAACGGCACATCTTCCCGCGAGAGTTCTCAGGTCTCGGGCAGCCTCCCGCCCCAGGGCGGACTCCTTTCGGTCTCCACCTAAACCGTTTTTTGCGTGCACTTTAAGCATCAGCTCCTAGATTCTAAGGAGCCTGCCGCGACTAGCTCTTTAACCCGCGTACCTCCGAGTCCTCGGCCTGGAGGTGGAAGGGTTTACACCACGCAGACAGGTGTAAAGCCCTATCCGGAGGTCTTTCTCCAGCCTGTAGGCCAGTCTGACTCACAGTTTTTGCTAAAATTGATTTTTTTTTTCAGTGCAGCTTTCTATAGCTCTGGTTACTAACATTTTATTCACGCCACGGCCGAGAGCTCAGGCTGTCAGTTTTAGCGCAAATTTGTCCAGACATACCATCCACGATGTTAAGCTACTTCCTCTGCCAGGAGGGACTAAGAATAGTGTCAACATCAGCAGGCTATTGAGAAAGCAAATGAGCTCATGCTTAAGATCCTGCCTGCAACCCAGGTCAGGATCCGATTGTTTGAGGATAAAACTGAGAGCCCAGAAATAAGCCTTCCCGTTTACAATCCCCTGGCCTAAGGATGCCAAGGTCATTCAAGGGGAAGAGAGCGTTCTGCAACAATAGACGGCAGACAACTACAGGTTCAGACGCAAAAGAATCACACGCAAAAGAATAAACTCTGGCCAGATACAAAAGGAATTCAGAATCATAGCTAAATGAAAAACTATCCATAAGCACCATCTGTGTGAACCGTCGAGACTCTGAATTAATAGAATTTTTGCTATGCCCCCAGAAGGATAAGCCACATGTAAAGAACTATCAGAACAGAAAAGAAAAAAAAAAAAAAAAAAAAAGCCAAAGGGACTTTTATATGTATTTATGTAAAGAAAATACACAAATGACTAAAATATATAGAAAGATACTCAGTAGTGCTGGTCTTCAGGTAAACAGAAACCGAAACCACAATGAGACTCTTACCACAATGAGGTGGTAAGAAGGAGACAGGAGCAAGAAGAGGTATACGAGACAGTTGAGCCTTACGCTGTCAGTGATGATGTAAAGATCATGCTGCAGCTGGGTAAACAGTCTGGCAATTCCTTTCAAACTTACACAGTTATCCCAAAACCCAGCAGTGCATACCTACGTGTGCCTGTGTGAATGATTAGTGCCTGCCCCCGCAGCCCCCCGAAAGGCTCACTATTTGAATTCCTTGTCTTTAGTTGGAGCTGTTTGGTAGATCTTACGGCATCTTCATTAGGTGTAGCCTTGCTGGAGAAAGTCTGTCACTGGGGCTAGGCTTTGAGAGTTCCTGGCCTCGCCACACTCCCAGCCCTCATCTGGGCTTCACGTTGGCAGCTGAAGATGTGATTTCTCAGCCTCCCGCTCTGGCTGCCTGCTGCCATGCCTTCTGCCATTAAAACTCTTTCTGCACCCATTAGTCAAAATTATTTCTACCATAAGTTTAGACGGGTAACTAGTGAACTAGATGTATACCAAGTGATAATAGCTATCTGAAAGTCACACAGAGAAGTGCATAGAAATATTATTCATGATGTCCAAAATGTGAAAAGTACCCAAAGTATTTTAAGCTAATGAGCAGATAAGTTAAAACCATCAATTTCTATAATGGAACGTAGTCAACAAAAACGAAGAAAATGTCTGATACCCGCTACAATATAGAGGAACCTTGACAACATTAAGCTAAGCAAAATAAACTATTAAAAATTATACCATTTCATGAAATTCAATTTATAAAAGACCACAAGTATATTATTTCATTCCGACTTGACAATATGACTATAAAGTGGTCAGAATAGCCAAATCCATAGAGAAATAAAGTAGATTAATGATTGCCTAGGCCCAGCAGATGACAAATAGGTTGAAGAGTTTTGTAGGATTCAAAAATACTTTAAAATATATTATAGTGTCCAGGCATAATGGTACATGCCTTTAATCCCAGCACTTGGGAGGCAAAGACAAGCTGATCTCTGTGATTTCAAAATAAGCCTGGTCTACAGAGTGAGTTTCAGAATAGCCAGAGCTACTTAGTAAACTGAGACTTGTCTCGATAAAAACCTAAAATAAAATATATTATAGTGTTGGTGGCACATCCCCCCAAAATATTAAAACTCAGTGAACAGTATACCTTATGAGGAGTGGATGGTAAATATGTGAATAAATCAAGCTGTTAAAACAGTTTTCAAAACCCAACTATTTTAAAAGTCAGAGGCTAGAGAAAGACAGACCATACTTAACATTAATCAAAATTAAGCTGTAGTATCTAATTCATATGATTTCAGAATAATTATTAAGAACAAAGAAGAATATTATATATGGATAAGAAAGCTTAATTCGGGGCTGGAGAGATGGCTCAGAGGTCAAGAGCATTGGCTGCTCTTCCAGAGGTCCTGAGTTCAATTCCCAGCAAGCACATGGTGGCTCACAACCATCTATAATGAGATCTGGTGCCCTCTTCTGGTGTGCTGATATACATGCAGGCAGAACATTGTATACATAATAAATAAATCTTCTTTAAAAAAAAAAAAAAAAAAAGAAAGCTTAATTCAAGCCAGGCTTGGTGGCCCACACCTATAATCCCAGCACTCAGGGAAGCAGAGGCAGGTGGATCTCTGTGAGTTTGAGGCCAGCTTGGTCTACAAAGTGAGTCCAGGACAGTCAAGGCTACACAGAGAAAATCTGTGTCGAAAAAAAAAAAAAAAAACAAGAAAGAAAGAAAGAAAGAAAGAAAGAAAGAAAGAAAGAAAGAAAGAAAGAAAGAAAGGAAGAACGGAAAGCTTAACTCTTCAAGGAGATATACTACTCCTTAGCATGCATTTGCCTATTGCAGAAGTGTCAGGGAGCAGTCAGCAAGACTGCAAACCTCAAGGTGAAACAGTGACACCAATATTGCAGAAGGCAACTTCAACATGCCTCTTATAATAACATGGCAAAACACCACTAAGGACACGGATATCCTAAACAGCACTAGCAACTAGCTTAAGCCAATCAACATCTATAGGCAACCCAACCAAAATCACCAGAGTACTACCTCTTCATGAAGCCATAGGGATTCATTGAGACAGATGCACTCAGGGACAGAAAACACACTTTAAAAGAATAGTGGCACAAGCCTGAAATCCCAGCACTCAGGGAGGCAGAGGCAGGTGGGTCTCTGCGAATTTGGGACAGCCTTGTCTACAGAGTGAGTCCATGACAGCCAAGGCTACACAGAGGAACCCTGTCTCTAAAACAAAAACAAAGCAAGTGTCCTACTGCTTGTATTCATGGCCTTCCAACCGTTTTCATGCCAGGTAGATTAATCAGGGTTCTCTCTTTTCCCCGTTCTCCACCCCCTTTTGCCTGAATATGTAGTGTGCATGTTTTTGCAGGTGTCCATGTGTGTGGGCACACATGTTGGTGTCTGTGCACACAGCTGCACATGTATGTAGAGGCCCAAGGCTGTCAGGAATCATATTCTTTCACCTTATTCACTGAGGCAGGGACTCTCACTCAAACCCAGAGCTTGTTGATGTAGATAATGTTGCTAGTCAGCTTGCTCAGGGGGTTCTGGTCTCTTCTTTCTGAGTCTGGAATTATAGGTAGGCCGTCACAATCGCCCAGCATTTATATGGTTTCTGAAGATCTGAACTCTGGTCCTCAAGCTTCTGGCAAGTGCTTCAACCATTGAACTATCTCCCCACGCCCTTAGGAACCTCTAGAGAAGCATATAATGAAATACAGACAGACAGACATGAAACTGGCTTACTCAATCAGATTCTGGATGGTCCCATGGTGGCAATCTACAGACCAGAGAGCTAGAGAAACTAGTAGATGCTCAGTCCTAGAAGCCAGATGCCTCAGAAAAAGAAACCACTGAAACTCCTGAGATGCTGGTGTGAGTTCAAGTTCAAAGGTGATAAAGCTGCTCTACTAGTGATGGTACCAACCACGTCCGGGCTCAGTGAGGAGAAATCAAGTTTGCGCTCACTCACTAGCCCGCTGACTCGTGCTTTTTATTTCACTACCAGACACCCATTCAATGGCACCCTCCATTTGCTGACTTAATTGCTATATGACTTTGTAAACACCTCATGGACCCAGTGAAAAAAACTAGCTGATCTTTTCTTTTCTTTTTTTTTTTTTTTTTTTTTGTGTGTGTGTGTGTGTGTTTTGAAACAGGGTTTCTCTGTAGTCCTGGCTGTTCTGGAACTCACTGTTAAACCAGCCTGGCCTTAAACTCATAGAGATCTGCCTGCCACTGCCTCCCAAGTGCTGGAATTAAAGGTGTATGCCACCACCATAGAAACTTTCTTAAAATGTCTTTTTTAATTTTATGTGTACTCATGTTTTGACTACATGTATGTATGTGCACGTATGTATGTATGTATGTATGTATGTATGTATGTATGTGCGTGCAGTCCCTATAGAAGCCAGAAGGGCATTAGGTTTCCTGGAGCTAGAGTTATAGTTGGAGATGGGCTTCCTGATGTGAATACTGGGAACTGAGTCTGGGTGCTGTGTAAGAGCAGCAAATGCTCTTAACTGCTGAGCCTTCTTTCTAGCCCCATGCCGTAAACTTTTAACAGAAATGCTTCTAGAAGGGGGAAAGGAAGAGAAAGCAAGCAAGCAGAGTGGCTCATCCACTGTAGTAATTTTGGTGCCATCTCAAATCATTTTTGTAAAGATGCAGTACAAATAGAATAAACCACAATCAGCCATAATGATTCCACATCGCTCACACAATCAACACGAGGGGAGCCAGTTGGAAAGGCCTTAAAATGGCTGAGGCGATTAGAGCACCATGTGCTTGGTATTCAGGATATAGAAGTAGACCGCGCTGGGTGTGGTAACACACGCCTGTAAGCCCAGCACGCTGAAAGGCAGAGGCAGGTGGATCCCTATGCATTCAAGGCCAGCCTGGTCTACAAAGCGAGTCCAGGACAACCAGGGCTACACAGAAAAACCCTGTCTCAGAAAAAAAAAAAAAAGAAAGAAAGAGAAAAAGACATACATTTGTTTTAATGTACTTTATTCATTTAAAAAGTGGACCTAATATGGTTCAATTTTTATTCTAAATATGAAGATCTAGGGCATAGT